CCCCAAAACCCCAAAACCCCAAAACCCCAAAACCCCGGCATTAAATTTTAATATTGAAATTTTATGATCAAAAATATTGAATATTAGAGTATAGCTCCTCAAAGTCACCCAGCTCTACTAAGTCTTATAAAGACATCTAATCGATTTCTATGATAAAACCAGCTTACTAAACCTTTATTAAAGAAGTATTTCCCACAAAAAGCGTAAATATCCCTTATTTTCATCAAATAAGTCAACTCTTTAACAGAAAACATGAATAAGACCATAAAATCCATCTATATCTTCTTCCTTATCAGTTTCCTGACAGCTCCAAATCCTGCGATTCCTCTTCTCCATTACTAATTCCCTCTTTAAACACCAAACATAAGACTTCTTGTTTCAAATAGAGGCTTCAAACTGAACTTTTACTACTAACTCACCTCTAAAATTAATAAATAAGCTCATTTCTAAAGCTTCACCAATATTCGGAATCCTGGGTGATCTCACGTTAAGACAGCTCTCGAGTAACAGAGGGGAGCTATTGTATTATAAATGATTTTGATAAGAGGGTTAATATTTGGAGCAGAAAAAGTTATTTAACATTTAGTTTATCTGCTTATAGTACTCATGTTGGGCCAATTTGTTCCCACCATTGAGAAAGGACTCAGAATACACGCTTTTAAATTGAGTAGTCGTCTTTCTTGCAGTCATGGGTTTCTTATTGTGAGGTTTTCCTTTCAAATTAATATTGACTTTTCTGACCTTCTGTTTTGATTTATTATTTTTACAGCTACTTTTCAGCATGCCAGAATTAGATTTGCTCAGATGCTGAAAATAAGAAGTCTTCTTCTGTACAAAGCTTCCTTTATGTTTGACAAACCGGCTTCTATCAGACTTGGTTCCTTTAAATTTATTCGCAAGGGCTGACATCACAGTTCCCTTATGATTCCTTGTTCTAAATATTTTTATTTACCCAAATCAAGAATATAAGTGGGAATTTTGATCTTAATAACTTACGTTGAGGGTTTCTTTTCCTTGAACTTATTTGTGCCAGACACTGTAGGAGTCCGAATAAACCTTTGGTCTGTGCTATAGCTATAATCATTCTTTCAGTTGATCTTAAGATCTCTTCCACTCTTAAACTTTTGGCTCCTTCGTATTGGCCTTACTGCTTTTATTTTTGCAGAATGATTCTATTTAAAATTAATTCTGCAATCCCAAATTATTAAGATTTGTAAAAATGCTTACTTTTCTGTATAAAGTTCTCCTTGTTTCCCTTCAGCTTGCCAGGAAGGTCAAGGAACTTGTTACTCTGAGGAGTTGCAAAGGACTTGCACATCTCCATTCGCTTAGTCTTATTATTTACGATACTTTCTCACATTAGGCTCTTCGGATTTGTTAATCTCATGCAGCTGATTTAGCTTTGGGCCACCAAAATAATCAACGAGAGAGAAGACTTTTTCGAATTTATTTTTGCTTTTCCACCAACTTTTTTAACACATCCTGTGATGTCCAGTCTATTGTGCTATTTGAAGTGATCTTTTCGCAGAAGCTGCTGAAGTCTTTGGCGGTGGTGATATCTTCATCACTGGAGCAGCTGGAGCAATCAGTGTTGCTGTCTATTGCAGAGTCAGGGTTTATTCAGGTGATTTGGTTGAACATTGATAAGGACTTCTTTCATCCTTCCTTCTTTGCATTCGCTCTCGTACTATGATAATCCATTTTTAACGATAATATTCAATTTTATTCTGCATTATTGGGGTTTTGGGGTTTTGGGGTTTTGGGGTTTTGGGG